GAGATTCTATGAGAAACACTGGTGAAGGTGAAACCCATTTACAACAGAAGACCCCAGTGTCTGGAGAGGCCAGCAGTGTGAGATGACCACCAAAACAGCAGTAGCAGTGGAATTGAGCCAGCCAGAGTCTAGAAGACCAGATGTGTGTACTGCAGAGGGCAGAGTCAGTGTATTGACCCAAAGCTATGGAAGGGTCCTGAAGATCTTGAGTGGGACTTAATATTGGAAAGTTGGAATTCTTTAATTATCCAAGATGTTAGAGATCCCAGGGTCATAGGTTACCTGCCAAGGAAAGCTACTAATGTGCAATGGAACCCGCCAAAGAAAAAGAAGTGTGGTTTTCTCAACAAAGCTGAACAGGATTGGAAACCTGGAGAGCTATTGGACATGGAATTAGGTATCATTACATTGACTTTTTTCTTTATTGTTACTTGTATTTCTTTCTACCCTAGTTCTTTGAGCCATTTAACTTCTGGATCCTGCCCATCTAGGCGCTCTTCCTAGCCATGTTGGGCCTCAATTTGGGCCAGTCATTGGTTAGCCACTACACAAATCTTGAGCACCATTTTCCTGATATATCTTCCATACACCACAAGTGTGGTCAAATATTATGTGGACGGCTTGGTTTTTTAGTCCCACTACTGGGAACCATATGTGATTACAGAAGATGGCCAGTACAGGCTCCATATTTCTGACTTATAGGGAATCCTCACTATAATGACCCTCAAAGATTGCAGAAAGTTGTTACTGCACTGTTTGACCATCAACCATTGAAAGCTTTCTTATTCTATTAATTTCTTGCTGTGTTTTTCCCCTACATACCTACATTTACTCTTATGATCCTTCCTGTTCTTGCTCTGTGTACTCCCACAAAATCTAGTCTATTTAATAGAATCTTTGGGATCCATGCACCCCCTGCTACAGCCATCTTTGTCTCTTATCCTATCTGGGTCTGTGGATTGTACAGTAATAAGTCTTTATTCAACCGCAACCATCCACTTACAGTGAATACACATCATGTTTGTCTATGTGGTTTTGATTTACTTTTTCAGAAGCAAAAGACCTCAGGCAACACATCTAGAAAAAAATTAATTGAATGAAAATGTGGTACAGATTTAAACAAGGAGTTCTAAATAGATGAATCTAAACTGTCTTAGAAATACTTAACTAAATGTTCAATATACTTAGCCATCAACCAAATGTACATCAAAAGAGCTTTTAGAATTCACCTTATACCTGTCAGAATAAGCTAGCTTCAATAACATAATAGAAAACTCATGCTGGAAAAGATGTTGAATTAGTAGAACGTTGATTTGCTAGGATCAATAACACAATTGACATATCATACTGGCAAAGATATGGACAAAAAGAAACACTTCCCCATTGTTGCTGAGAATGTAAACCTGTATAGCCACTATGGTAACCAATATGGCAGTACCTCAGATAATTGGGAATCTATCTATCTTAAGACTCAGATAAACCACTCTGATAGTTTGAATGTAGTGAGATCCAATAATCTCCTAGGGAGTGAGTGGCACTATTAGGTGTGGCTTTATTGGGCTGGGTTATGGCCAAGTCAAGTCAATATCATGATTGTTATAAGAGACTTCACATTGAAACACTTCAGGAACTGTTCCAGCCTATGACAATCTTTGAAGTTAGACTAAATACATTTTTATCATGGGATGACTATGAATATTTATGCATCAGGGTCAGAATGTAGTTGATCGAAGGAAAAGGTCCCAGATTAGAAGAAGTGGTTGAACACTTGTCTCTCCGGGGTGCTCTTCTTTGTTGTATTTGTAGAACATTGAGTAGGAGAAATCTTTTGGATGAAATTCCTATATTGGGGATTGGATTTACATGTTCATAGCCTGAACCCATTTCTGGTTATGTGTGTCCTGATGTAATGACTTCACCGCCATTATAGATGGTGTCACTCAATGACAAAACATGCAGTTGAAGCAATTTCTGTTCACTCTTAAGCCTTTTGCTATCCTGATTTCTATTTTAATTTTTGGTTTTTACTTTTGTTTTTGAGAGACAATGTTTTTCTGTGTAGCTCTTGGTCTTCAGTGTAGCTCCTTAGACCATGCTGTTCTCAACTCAGAAATACAAATGATGCTGGCTACTGCACAGAAGGATTAATGGAGGAGCAACATGCTTGTTATTTTTCTGTATTCTTTTACTGTCTGATGAGCCTGGAATATAGGTTTTGTGCATTTCAAGAATAAGTTCCGATGCTGGACTTCTTGAAATTTGAAGTTTGGTGGAGGGTATCATTCCCTTTCCCAGGAGAGTAACATCCATGACATCAATACCTCTGCTATCTGAATCATTGCACTGCAGGGGTGTGACTTTCTACCTGCCTCTATTTTTTTTGTTTTGTTTTGAATGCTCTCAATGAATATGAGGTTGTATCTGTATACAAGGGTATGTACCACAGGCGTGCCTGTTTCTCACGGTTGTCACAAGAGGCGTCAGAACCTATGAAGTTGAAGTAATGGATACAAGTCCCTATTAGTACTGGTAATTGTGCCCACTTATCTGCAAGGACAGCAAGACCGCTTAATTGCTGACCCATCTCCCTTACTCTATGTTGTTTATGATCATTTGCAGGGCTGGAGTTTTCTTTGGTCCATTTGTAAGTGTTAAACATGCACTCCCTTTTAAGATCTTATTATGAAACAGTTTAAACTGGGCCACTGCAAGTTCTGGAAGATGAATGTAGAACTAAAGTAAATACAAAAGTTTGTGTAAGAACTTCATTTAAAACCTCTGATTTCCTTTTATGTTTTTAATTTAAATGATTATGGATGGATACTGGGTTTTATTGATTTGTAACTCTGGCTTACCTGCAAGTCATTGCATAGGCTTTGAACGACATCCAACTCAATTTATTTCATCTGCTTTTACATTGATCACTGGGATTAAAGTCACAAATGAATATATCCAATTTTGCCATCCTTTTTCTAGATAATCATTGGTATTATTATTTCTGTAATGTTTTCTCAGTAGTGTTGATCTGCTTGCTTGTATGTCTCTGTATGTCTGTTTATTAGCATTTCTTTCTCAAGGCTGTATCCTATTTAAAGGGCCAACAAATGGCACATATGAGCCTCTTCTTCAGTTTCCTTCTACAGTGACTTTTGTTTATATTATAATGCAATGGCAAGGCAGAAGTGTGGGAAGCAGCAGCAATATACAAATATATCATTGTAAAAGAAGTATCCAATGTCAGGATCACACTTTGTTTTATTGTTGATTGGATTCTTCTAGAATTCAGTGACCTATGAGGATGTTCACATTGACTTCACTGAGGATGAATGGATTTTGCTGAATCCTTCCCAAAAGAGTCTCTACAAAGATGTGATGCAGGAGACATACAGGAACCTCACCGCTCTTGGTAAGATTGTGAAATTTCCTTCACATTTTAAAATAAAGAGACAACTGTGTATTATTTATTGATACTTTTGTATACTTGTGTTTGAGAAAGAGTAAGAATGAGCCAAATAACTAAGGCATAGTTCACTTAAGATATTCAATTTTGTACATATGATTAATATATTATTTACTTTTTGTTACTGTATTAGGCTACAGTTGGGAAGACCATAATTTTGAAGAGTATTGTCAAAGTGCTAGAAAACATGGAAGGTAACTTTTATTTGCAACTTGGTGTATATTTGTCTCTGAAGAAATTTTAATTTGTCCCGGAAGATTTAAAGAAAAAAATAGTATAAATAAGCACACCAAAAATTATATGGTTGATTATTAATTTCTCATAAAATCATATGCCTCAATATGAGGTAAATGGTGTGTACATTCCTCTAAACAGAAGAGAAGGAAACAATGTCTTAACTGATGCTACCGTGAGAATTATACCGTAGAGCTACTAATCCATTTAGTTTCATACCACTCAGATAACACATAGACACATTGAATAGATAATAAGGATATGTTTAAAACTGTGCCAAAAATACTCTGTAATAAAGCGCATGTTACTCATGTACTTGTGACTTTGCCAAACTTGTTGAAAGAGTTGGGTCATGAGAGTCAAAAAGTCTCTTGTGGAGAAACATTAATTCCTACACCACATGTCTGCCAATTACAAAAAGTCAAACTGTGAGAATTCAAGGGACAATTCTTCTTCCTTTAATAAGAATGTCATATGTCACAAGTGAGCTTCCCAAAATTGAAAGAGGGACTGTATATCTTTCAGAATAATGAAAAGATAGGAAAGATATTTAATATTTCAACACTGGGTAGATTTGTTGAATGTGCTATAAGATTATATTTAATTGGTTTTCAAATATCCTTCAGAAGTCATCAGCAAACTCACACTGAAGATAGCCCTATGAGTGTTGGACTTATGTCCTTACTTTTGTTTGTACTAGTACACTTTCTTGTGGTGGGTATTGCACTACACGAAAACAGAAGATTCCAAATGTAAGGCTATTTAAAACTGAGTTTGTCTAGTTCCTTTCAAATATGTAAAAAATATTCATATAACACGATGCTATAAATGTGGGTCATTTAAAAATAGACCCATAGTATCAAATGTTCTTCAAAGACACAAAACATCCCATACTGAAAGAGAGCACCATGAATGTAAAACTTAAAATCTGATTCCTCTTTACAATTAAACGAAATCATAAAATTAGTCCATACAGATATTAAGATTCATCAATGTAATAAATATGGTAAAACTTTTACATGTGCCAATTATCTTTGCAGGGATGAGAGAAACCATAATGGACAAAAGCCTTCTGAATATACTCAATGTGATAAAGTCTTTGCATGTTACAGTCACCTTCAAAGGCTTGAAAATTTTCATTCTGCAGAGAAACCCTATGATGGTATTCAATATGGTGAAGCCGTTGCAGGTACCAGTTCTCTCCAATTACTTCAGAGTACACATGCTGAAGAGAATCTCTATGAAAGTAATCAATGCAGTAAAGACTTTTCATATGTCAGAAGTCTTCAAGTTCACAGAAGACAACATTCTGGAGAGAAAACTGATGAATGTAATCAATGTGATAAAGCTTTTTCAAAATGCTCTAAACTCCAGATACATGAAAGAACACATACTAAAGAGAAACGCTACGAATGTAATGAGTGTGGTAAAGTATTTCTACTTCAATATAATCTCCAAGTACATAAAAGAACACATACTGGAGAGAAACCCTACACATGTAATCAATGTGGTAAAGCCTTTTCACAGAACAGTAAAGTTCGAGTACATCAGAGGATACATACTGGAGAGAAACCTTATCAGTGTAATCAATGTGGTAAAGCTTTTTCACAGAACAGTAGTCTCCAAATACATAAAAGAACACATACTGGAGAGAAACCTTATCAATGTAATCTATGTGGTCAAGCCTTTTCAAGGAACAGTAGTCTCCAAATACATAAAAGAACACATACTGGAGAGAAGCCCTTTGAATGTAAGCAATGTAATAAATCTTTTTCAGAGTGTTCCAAACTCCAAAGACACAAAAGAACACATACTGGAGAGAAACCCTATGAATGTAATCAATGTGGTAAAGCCTTTTCATATACCAGTACTCTCAAACTTCACAAAAGAACACATACTGGAGAGAAGCCATATGAATGTAATCAATGTAATAAAGCATTTTCACAACTCCGTAGTCTAAAAACACATAAAAGAACACATACTGGAGAGAAACCTTATGAATGTACTCAATGTAGTAAAGCCTTTGCATGTTGTAGAAGTGTACACATCCATCAAGGAACACATGCTGAATAGAAACCCTACAATTTTAGCCAATGTAGTAGAGCCTTTGTATGTGTCATCAGGCTTTAAAATCTTGAGAAAAAAAATCATACTGCAAAGAAACTCTTTTTTTTTTCTTTTTTTTGGTTTATTGCGGTAGGGTTTTGATGGAGGTGGGTCTTGTATCTAATCTGTTGCGTTCATTGGTTAATTAATAAAGAAACTGCCTAGGCCCATTTGATGGGCCAACGCTTAGGTGGGTGGAGTAAACAGAACAGAAGGCTGGGAGAAAGAAGCTGAGTCAGGCAGCCGCCATGATTCTCCCACTCCAGACAGATGCAGGTTAAGATCTTCCCAGGTAAGCCACCTCGTGGGCTACACAGATTATTAGAAATGGGTTAGATCAATATGTAAGAGCTATCCAGTAAGAGGCTGGAACTAATGGGCCGGACAGTGTTTAAAAGAATACAGTTTCCGTGTAATTATTTCGGGTAAAGCTAGCTGGGTGGTGGGACGTAGACCGCCGTTCATATTACAACAGGATTTCTCTGTAGCATTGGAGTCTGTTCTGGAACTCACTCATAGACAAGGCTGGCCTTTAACTCACAGAGATTTGTCTGTCTCTGTCTCACAAGTGCTGGATTAAAGGGGTGTGACACCACAGTTAGCCTGTCAAACACTTTAGGTGCAATCAGTGTGGTAAAGTTTTCCTCTTCTTGGTAGTCTTTATATGAGAGTAAACTTTTAGTAGATAAGGAGTCTATTAAGGCCTTTGCAAATCACAGTACTCTGATGACCTGAGAAGATTCATACTGAAGGGAATGTGACTATAAATATTTTGGAAATATCTTCAGGCAACACACATTCGCTTACATAAGACTGGGAAGAAAACACGTCTACAAGTGTCAAATCTATTCAAGCGTTATGAAGTCTCTATTTTTTTTGCACATGCAATATTATATGGACAGAAGTCTTGTGCATTTAGTGATAATAACCCTTTTTGATTTCTCACCTTTCTTCATTTATATAAATACACTCATCTGGAGAAGTTAGCTTGATTCGGGAAATAACCAGGCTAGCTTACAGATAAACAATTATATTTTTACATATTATAGGGGGAAACTCATGCCACAAGAAGGGAAAGTCCAAGTTCTTCTGTTTCCTGTGGAAATCACCCAGAGCTCAAGCACCTTTTTCCTAAAGATGACCTTGTTCCTAGGAATTCCTTGTCTCCAATCCTCTTTCAGATGTCTCATTCTACCACAATTTTTTTTTAAAAAAATGACATTTTAGTGTCTCCTTATACCATTGGAAATTGCTTCTCCTACCCAAGTTTCAGTAGTATATTCACATGTCTCAACATTCACTGTTTGCAAGATCCATGTATCTATTGGTGTTAATCTGACTTTTAAAGGCCCAAGGATCCTTTTTCATTTTAAGTTGGCATTTGCTTGTTTCTTATTTTTTTTTTCGAGACAGGGTTTCTCTGTAGCTTTGGAGCCTATCCTGGAACTAGTACTTTTTAGACCAGGCTGGCCTCAAACTCACAGAGATCTGCCTGCCTCTGCCTCCCAAGTGATGAGATTTAAGGTGTGCTCCACCACCACCCAGATCTAAATTGGCATTTTCAAAAGCCAAAGATTTAATAAGTACACATGTAGCTTCTGGGTCTGTACTCCTTAGTTAATCTTTGTAAACAGTAACTAAAGAGTTCTGACAGTGTTTAACCCTAATAAATAATTCAATTCTCTTTTCTAGTTCCTGAATTGTGTCCCAAGTATTTAATGCTGCTGTGCTACACTGGGACTAGGTGTATTTGTTATAGAGAGCCTGGTCCTGAGATTCAAAATAATGTCTCTCACCAAGAATTTGATCTTGGAAAAATCCTTTTGCTTTTCTCTGTTGTAAAATTTTAATCTCTTCTCTCTATTAACACTTCAGAAGCATCTGAGGTCCATCTTCTAGGACCTCTGAGATTAACTGAAGCCACCTGTGTGGGGTGACATTATTGCCTTAAGCCCATGTTTTTACAATTTTCCTTACAAAAGGTGAATGCAGTCCATAAGCCAGTATTGCTTGTGTAGTGTCTTTTAGATCACACACACACATATATATATATATAGGCACTCTTGTTTATTCTTTGACTACTTTAGGGTACTTGTTGCCAGATGGTCTTTCTGAGAAAATCACTGTATAGGTAGTTATAACTCTGGAAAAGTCGTCCCAGAATCTGATATGTACTGATGAGGCTAAATCCTGTCTTTGTACCTTTTGTCCCTGCTCATCAGTTTCAGTAAATTCTCAGTTTTTTCAAATCTTTTAACCACTGCCTTTTGTAAAGTCTGGATCTCCTGTTCAGTGTTCTATTTTAATGGATCACTGAGAATTCCAACATAAATAATTATTCCAGTAAAGATAACATCTCATCCTTGGACATAACTTTGATGGCTGCATATGACCTTTCTTTAGAGACACTCTATCTGCCATCCTATCATAACTGTTCAACAGATTCTAATTATTAAATTCAACAACATGAATTCTCTCAAGCAATATCTCAGCACCTTCCATCACTGACTGAATTTTGCCCATCAAATTGGTCATATTCTTCTCCAAAGTGCTGATTTTCCCTTTTTGCTGTTCATTATTAGTCTGTAAAGACTGTATCATGTCTAAAATGCCTTATTATTTGCTCTATTACCAAACCATTTTTAATGAGATAATTGAAAGCAAAGTTAATACCTATAATCAAATGAAGGGGTATAGAAGGAAAATTAAATAAGCATTGCTGAATACTATCCATAGCATAAGTAAAAACTTACTGAATTTATGGATTGTTACATTATTGACCCATTTTTCTAGTTTACCCAGTTATAGTCAATTGGAGCATGTGCAATAACCAATACCAGCAAGCAGGTGTCACCATTGCAGCCACGTGACTGAGAGATGCAAGCAGCAGAAAATCCCAAATTGGTTTTCATGCATTAGATACTGGAAAATATGATTTATTTAACAAATTAAGTGTAGCTTTTACAGTGATCAAGGCAATTCAGAGATTTGGTGACCAGGATAAAGAAAAAACACAAAACCTTCTGTCAGTGTGAATCATGGACTGTGTGCTCCCTGGGGATCACTGGCTGGAGAGGCAGTGGGAAGTGGAGAGCCTCACTGCATTCCCAGGGCACACAGAGCCCATCAGTGGTTGTGAAACATGAGCCACCAGCTAGTGACATGTGCCGGGAGAGTCAGTACCCACTGCACTATGTGGCTTGCAAAACGGGAGTGCCTCAGGGGTCCTCAAAATAGAGTTGATCAGTCCCCCCAACCCATGATGGGGCACCAGATGTAACTGAGTGTGTAAACAGGGGAAAACACAGAGTCAAATGATTCCAAGCTAGCTTCAAAAGTTGCTAATATTATTCTGTATTGCAAGGGGAAACTTGTGGAACAGGAATGGGAAGGCCAACCTCAAGGTGTGCAGCATTGGAATGAGACAGAGAGAGAGAGAGAGAGAGAGAGAGAGAGAGAGAGAGAGAATACAATATATGGTCTCTAAGTCTCACTCTATGTACCTTAAATAAATTATCTAGTCCTTCATAACTTGTCAGACCTTTCTGGTTTCTTAATTCTGGTCCCATCAAGTTATTATTAATTTCATAGATTTAAGATCTTTTTTTACTAAGGACAATTCTATATTTAGATTCCTCTAACAATTTCTTTTATGTACTAGTTACTTTCTTTATTGAGATACATAGACTTTTGTTTGAGGTAGAAAACATATCTACTTCTCTATTCCTGAAGTATATGTTCTGGCTATTAGTTACACCTGTTGACAATAACCTTGAGAGAGCAGAACTCTCTGATCTCAATCTAGGTGGCACCATTGTTTGAGGCAGAAACATAATAACTTTGAAGGAACTAGAGGTAAGATCTAACTCGCTGACCTTCTGTCAACTTGGAAATAGGCTCACAATTTTTGGCCTCCACAGTTCCTCTCTGTTAAGTTGGGAGCATAGCCTCTAGCCCCTGGCATTTATCCCAGCCAACCTGGCCTGGGAGTTGCATTGCTCTGGACTCCAAATCCCAGCATGCCACAGGGTATTTAAGTTGCCACCCAAAGGAGAAACATGTGGTTTTCGGGTCGACATCTACTCCCTGCTTTTCTGTATCCCAGCCATGCATTCAGTCACCTGAGAACGTCGTACTTAATAAAACGATGGCATTTTGATCTGGTTTGATTTGACCTAATTGGATTTCTTGCGCCAGTGGATCTGTCCTTTTCTTCTTATTTTTCCTTAACACTGCCTTCTTATTAACTTTAATAAAGCCTATACTTCTGCAACAGTACAGATGTTTGCATCTGCCTCATGTGAACACATTTCCATTTCCCAGACTTACCCATCTTCAGAACATGTATTCCAACTATGCAAGTCCTTGTGTTTGGCACTTGGGTGGAAAAAGGATTAAACCCATCAGTGACTGCTGACCTTTGTAATCACAGGGTTAAAAGATAAAGCACCGAGCTCTGTGTCTTTGAGCCACGTTCCTTTCAAGAGAGCTCATCAGCAGTTAATACTTTGTGCTATGCATACTTTTATGTTCATAAATCTCCTAATTAAAGGAGTGGAGGATCACCAGAGTTGGGAATGCCCACTTTGAATTGGTCTATAGTGTGTCTTGTTAGTATTCAGTTGTATCAAAATCTAAATTTGTCTTATCAAACATGTCAAATTCAACAATTCATTGGAAATTTCAAATGTTTCTTGGACAAGTTATAACAATTTTCTAATCACTAACATCTTATAATAAACTAAAACATTAACAGGTCAATACCATAACACAATTTAACAGGACAATACCATAATACAATTTGTCAAATCATGATTCTCTTAAATCCATTCTAAACAAAAGACAAGAGAATATTTTTACAATACGTGAGAGTCCAAATACAACTCCTCTTTTAAGCATTTGTCACAGTATCTGAGTAGCAGCAAAACCCTTAGGCTACTCTCCTCATATCTGATGAGGGGCTCTCG